CCTGAGTACACTTTGAAATCATGTTATAACCGTACCACCTATCTTGATAGTTAGTTACATTTGAAACTGCATTTATTACTTTTTTCTTCCAATGTAAATTGAGGGAAAGTGGATTTTCAAGTGTAGTAAGAGAGAAAATTATTTTAAGGCTTTTGATGCATGTAGATGGATGCATTAGTATTTGGAAAAATTACATATTGCTAAATAAAGAGGCTTCACCATACATAAGGGGTACTTAGTAATCTAAATTTTATGTAATTGATTTCCAGGGAAATCTAAATTTTATGCATTTGATGTATTTCCAGGCTAAACCAAATGCAATGCTTTGTAGTAATACATGGTATAAAAACTTACTGTAACAGGCATGAGTTATTGTCTGCACATCAGGACTCAATAGGTAGCAGTATCTGGCATACTAAATAGCTCTGTTGGCTTTGCAGACACCATGCAGAGCAGGAGCCTGTGGAAATGCTGTGGTGGTAGAATCCATGTAATAATTTCACATTGTTCCAAAATTTTTCCATCACTTGTGAGGAAGGATCAAATTTTGGAACACTTCTTCCTTTGAAGAATGCTTAACTCCTGTGAGCTACCTCTAGGATATCCGAGGAGATACAAGCATAGGGATTCCTAAAAGTGATCTGTATGTTTTAATGCACAGAGATAATTTATAAAATCACTTCATAAAAATCTCAAATCTTCTTCCCATGAGTATGCAGAATGATAGCTGATCACTTTAATGGCCAAGCAGATGATTCCAAAGTTTAGATTTGTTTTATGGACAAAAACAATAATGGGAATTTGATCTAAATTCTAGTCCTTATTCTAACTTGTGTCAGCAAGTGATAAACCAAAATCAAACAATTTATTTTTAATACCAGTTCATCCACAAGTCAGATAACAAATTTCTACTTTGAAGTTACAATTCTGAGTACTCACAAAAGTCAGAAAATTCAGGATTGTCAGTGAACCAAACTTGATGTCCTTTCCTGAGAGTTTCCTAGACTCTTGAAACTCCTCATTTACATGAAGATGTTAATACATCTTTATAGCTGCAGGAGCAGTGTATTGGCTGTGCAAACTAACATTACTATAGCAATACTTTTCATAATAACCAGGTCAGAAAACTCCAACTGGAATGTAATAGCAACCTGAATTCCTCCTTTTTCTGTTTCAATACCTGACATAAATGTGCTGTGCTTTTCAGATCTAATTATAAAATAAATGTATTGACTCTGTGTTTGCACACAGATCCTTAATCCAATTTAGAGGTAATGCAGATCACATTGTCTAAATTACTATGATGCTTTGGGGTATAAACCAGGTTGTAATCTGATCTGTACAGTCACTGGTACAATCTTTTACCTGAAAAAGAAGAAATCCCATTTGAATTTGAGCTGAACTTGAAAAGAATACAGAATTTCATCCTTTTGAACTGTGCAAATATGAGCTGTGTGTACGTGAATGAGCGGATTGAGATCATTTAGCCTTGTCTGAAATGTGTCAACATGAGCTGCCCAATCTGTGTTACCATCAAGGAAGACAGCAGGTGAGGTCTGTCAGCCAGGTCCTCTGACCAGTGTAGATGCCTTTTTCAAGATAAAATGAATAATTCCCTAGAAGTCCACGGACCACAGTGGGAATTTAAAAAATAAATCGTGTGCAAACATCTTGTGGGAAATGGTTCTTTGACACACCTACATCAGAGATGTCCCAATTTAAGCAAGATAAATACCCATCTAACTATCCAAAGTAAGATACTTGAACTAGTAATAATCTCAACTTTGGATGTGTTTGAGACAGATGGAAGGAAATATATCTGCACTATAGGCAACCATGAAGGTTACCTTAGATTAGACACCTACAGTGGATTTTGTTCAAGATTAGATGTAGACATGTGAGGCAAGTATCTCAGCTACCATTACAGTTAGAAGTGCTTCCTTTGGTCATTTGATATGGTCTAGGATATCCTATATGGTGTCCAGTTGCCACTCTGGACAATCACAGGTCCTGTGCCATAATTTTCAGCCTGTTGTAAAAGTGTAAGGTGTGCTAAAGTGCATAAAATGGCATTGGATGTATATATTTAGGTAAACGAACAGAATGCAATTAAAATTCAGTCCTCTCCTAAGTAAGAATATTGTGTAAAATAAATGTGTAAGAAATCAACCATTTGTTTTAGATTATCTAGCATAAAATTGATCACAAAAGATGAACAGAGTGAATAACACTGTATTCCCAATCTCACTGTATGTAAGTATGAAAAATCTGTGAAGAAAGGCTGTAATGTTAGTATTTGCTTTTACACAAACATTCTTGTCTACAATTTACAAGTTTGATTCAAAGTTGCTATTACTGCCACTAGTACATGTATGGAAATGTGATGTTTGGTTTATATGTGGAAAGCAGAGTATCTGCTTCACCCTCTTTGTTCAGACAGAGGAGGGAGGAAAATACCACCCTGCAGCCTTGATGAACTGCTGTGCCCATAGGCAAGTACCTTCACCACATTTTCTAAGAAATTAATCCTGACGTTGTGTAAAGAATGCAAAACTCTTACTGAGGTAAAAAAAAATGCCTCATTCTTGTGTCTTGGAGCAGAATTCCTCTCAGAACTAAAACAGTTTAGTCACTTGCTGCTTTAGTTCCGAAATACATTTTCAATCGGTGTCTTGTATAAATCATGAATTGAGAGAAATGTGCTTTATCAAGAAGACAGTATTCCAGTCACGAGGTGCCATCCAAATGGAAAGACGCCACAAGTAAGCAAGAATGACAAAAACTTTGCAACTATACTCTTGGGCTTCTCCAGGACAAACCTTTGTTCTGATTATTACACCTTTACAAGGTATTAGTTTTCATTTGGTCATTGTTGTTTAAAGCAGGAGAAGGCTTGCTCTTCTGACCGTCAGTTCCTCCTTTGGATGTTTCCTGGAAGAAATGCCTAGGCATCCACAGGGACATTAAGATTCGTTTATATTCATTCCGAAAATTCTGGTTAAGAAGTCCATATATTATTGCATTAAGGCAGCTGTTGAAATAGGCCATGAAGTAGCTTATAATAAACAACCATTCAGGAACTTTTGGTGCCATTTCTATAGGATCAATGGCTACAGCCAGTCCAATGAAGTTTAGAGGTGCCCAGCAAAAGGCAAAAATCACAAAAACCACAAACATGGTAAGAAAGTTTCTGAAGTCACTTGGCTTCAGTCTTGGATTTGTTTCTGACTTGACTCGTCTCCTGACTTGAAGCACTAAGACCCAGATCCGAAGGTAGCAGAAGCTTACAATGGTGATAGGGACGATGAAGTGAATTACCACCACAGCTATCGTGTAGTAGGAGCTCACAGTCTGAACAAATGTGCATGAATAGATGCGGGGATCATACTTCAAAGACCCAACAAAAAAATTTGGCACGGTTGCAATGACTGTTAACACCCAGATTAAGGAGACATACAGCATCGTGTTCCAACAGCTGTACACCTTGTCATAGGCAAAACTGTGACAGATGTAGCAATAGCGGTTTATTGCAATTGCAGTGATGTTGAAAATAGAGCCTATGACACTGAGTCCCATCACAAAGCCACTCACTTTACAATGCATTTCTCCCAAAGTCCATCCATTGTGGAAAATAGCTAAGAGCACCAGTGGGTATGGATACAAGGCCACCACCAGATCAGCCAAAGCCAGGCTCACCACAAATGCATTACCTGGGGAAAAAGAAAAACGCATAGACATAAGTCTGCAAGCAAGCATAGTTGTGAACAAGAAGAAAATATAATGTATTAGTTTGGATCTCTGAAAAGCTAAATTATTGATAATCACAGAATCAAAGAATGGTTGGAGTTGGAAGGGACCTTAAAGATCATTATGGAGTTCCTCTCCTGAATGGGCAGGGACACCCTCCACTAAAACGGGCTGCTCAGAGCCCCATCCAACCTGGCATTGAAGACCTCCAGGGATGGAGCACCCACAACATCTCTGGGCAGCCTGTTCCAGTGTCTCACCACCCTTACACTGAAGAATTTACACCTGATCTCTAACCTAGATCTCTCTTCCTTCAGATAAAAAAACATTATTCCTCATCCTCTCACTGCAAGCCCCTGTAAAAAGACCTTCCCCAGCTTTCCTGTAGGCCCCCTTCAGGTGCTGAAAGGACACTATGAGGTCCCCCTGGAGCCTTCTCTTTTTCAGACTGAACAATCCCAGCTCCTTCAGCTTGTCCTCTTCAGGGAGGTGCTCCAGCCCTTGGCTCAGTTTCGTGGCCCTTCTCTGGACACGTTCCAACAGGTCCACGTCTTTCTTGTGCTGGGGGCACCAGAGCTGGATGCAGTATTCTAGGTGAGGTCTCACCAGGGCAGAGAAGAGGGGCAGAATCACCTCTCTTGATCTGCTGGCCACACTTCTTGTGATACAGCCCAGGATGTGCTTGGCCTTCTGGGCTGCAACTGCATATTGGTGTCTCATGTCCAGCTTTTGATCCACTAGTACCTCCAGGTCCTTTTCCACAGGGCTGCTCTCCAGCATGTCTTCCCCCAGCCTGTGAAAATCCCTGAAGCAGCATGGTTCACATTAAGAGGAAATTCCACAAATGAAACATGAGAAATGAATCTGCTTTGGAGGTAGAAGTTCTAGAATATACAGAGATGAGAATTCATTGCAACTGCAACATTTTATTGCAAGGGTAAGCAAAGTGAGGATAAGAAGTTACAAAAAAAAATATATTGGATATGCAAAGTTCAGTAGTAATATAATTTCATAATAGATAATGAAAAAAATAATTATTTAGCTACTTCAGAGAAAAAGAGAAGATAAAAGGGAAGGTAAGAGCTCTAATTATCAGAAAGTAAATACACTAGAGGGGAGGAAAAGTGGAATTTCTAAGTACTTGCTCTGCTTCAGTTCACTCAAAACAACTCTTCTGTGAAATGATTAATTATGCTGGGAGTAGATGAACAACATAAGAGAAGAGACATCAACACCGTAAAGAGCAAGTGAGAAATTACCTGGACTGAATTAATGTTTTGAATCAGCAAGGCCAGATTAAATCCATCAGAGAGTACTAAAGGAATTAGCCAATGAGGTTTCATAGTCCATGGCAAATGATTTTACAGAACTCCAAGGAGATCCTAGGGTTGCAGATTAGAAGCCTGACATCCATTATAGGAAACATACCAGCTAAAAAGAGATGTAACATGAATAAAAGTATTATTAGTGCTAGAATGATGTTAAGGCACAGAGCAAAACAAATGTTAGCGTTTAAAAAGGACTTATATATTAGACAGAAGTGTCGTATATATGATATCTTTTGCCAAATAAGCATATTTACTACACTAATTCAAGGTATTGTAAGGTACAACCTGTAGAAAAGAAAAATCTAGGTTACCATAGCTCACTGAAACCAGATAGCATCTACACCAAATATTACCGAAACATTTCAGAAAGCAGAAAACCAAAGATGATTGCTCAATAAGGACTCTACGAACTTCATAGTTCTAGTAATCCTTAATAAACCCACACTTAATCCCCAGTCCATTAACTGTTGGCCTAGCTTAAATCCCTCTTTCCTCATAATTGATACTTCTTAACTTGTAAGATTCACATCTCAAAATCAGAAGTCAAAGTAGAAAACTAGTATGACTTATAACTTTTAAGTTTATACTGCTGGGCTCATCTACAGCCTCTTGAACATTAGATACAGATAAATCACCCATAAAGCAAAAAAGTAGATACTAAGTCACTCTCCTGAACAGAAGTCAGTTAATGGTGACAGATAAATGTTGCCATCTACAAAAAGTTTTCACCTCCAGTGTTCCCCCAGATTACCTTCTCTGTTTCTCTTCCAAATCTATCAGTCCACTGATAGCAACATGCCTTGGTCTTTGTTTCCAACATTAGACCAAATGTATAACTTATAGAATCATAGAATCATAGAATCATAGAATCTTAGGGGCTGGAAGGGACCTCGAGAGATCATCTAGTCCAACCCCCCTGCCAGAGCAGGGTCACCTAGAGTACATCACACAGGAACTCATCCAGGTGGGTTTTGAATGTCTCCAGTGAGGGAGACTCCACAACCTCCCTGGGCAGTCTGTTCCAGTGCTCTGTCACTCTTACAGTAAAAAAATTTTTTCGGATATTCACCTTGAACCTCCTATGCTCCAATTTACACCCATTACCCCTTGTCCTATCACTGGTCATCACTGAGAAAAGCCTAACTCCGTCCCCCTGACACTCACCCCTTACATATTTGTAAACATTGATGAGGTCACCCCTCAGTCTCCTTTTCTCCAAGCTAAAGAGACCCAGCTCCCTCAGCCTTTCCTCATAAGGGAGATGTTCCACTCCCCTAATCATCTTCGTAGCTCTGCGCTGGACTCTTTCGAGCAGTTCCCTGTCCTTTTTGAACTGAGGGGCCCAGAACTGGACACAATACTCCAGATGTGGCCTCACCAATGCAGAATAGAGGGGGAGGAGAACCTCTCTTGACCTACTAACCACACCCTTTCTAATGCACCCCAGGATGCCATTGGCCTTCTTGGCCACAAGGGCACATTGCTGGCTCATGGTCATCCTCCTGTCTACCAGGACCCCCAGGTCTCTTTCACCTACACTACTCTCCAGCAGTTCAGCCCCCAACCTGTACTGGGACATGGTGTTGTTCTTCCCCAAATGTAAAACTCTGCACTTCCCCTTGTTGAATTTCATCATGTTTCTCCCCGCCCAACTCTCCAACCTATCTAAGTCTCTCTGAATGGCAGCACAGCCTTCTGGTGTGTCAGCCACTCCTCCCAGCTTAGTGTCATCAGCAAACTTGCTGAGGGTACATTCTATACCCTCATCCAGGTCGTTGATGAAGATGTTGAACAACACCGGTCCCAGTACCGACCCCTGTGGGACTCCACTAGTCACACACCTCCAACCAGATTCTGCCCCATTGACTACAACTCTCTGACTCCTTCCTTTCAACCAGTTCCTAATCCACCTCACTTCCTGATCACCAAACCCATACCTGATCAACTTTTCTACAAGGATGCTGTGGGAGACGGTGTCAAATGCTTTACTGAAATCAAGATAAACCACATCTACCGCTCTACCATCATCTATCCACCTAGTAATTTCCTCATAGAAGGCTATGAGGTTAGTCAAACATGATTTACCCTTGATAAAACCATGCTGACTGCTCTTGATGACCCCCATGTCCTTGATGTGCCTGGAGATAGTGACAAGAACAAGTTGTTCCATCACCTTTCCAGGGATGGAGGTGAGGCTGACCGGTCTATAGTTACCCGGGTCCTCCTTCTTGCCCTTCTTGTAGACTGGAGTGACATTTGCTATCCTCCAGTCCTCAGGCACCTCACCTGTTGCCCATGATTTACTGAAGATGATGGAGAGTGGCCTAGCAATGACCTCCGCCAGCTCCCTCAGCACCCTTGGGTGCATTCCATCTGGACCCATTGATTTATGGATGTCCAGATTACTCAACTGATCCCTAACCCAATCTTCATCTACCATGTCAAACTCTTCCTCTATCTTGACCTCTTCTGGGGCTATATGAATCTGGGGCTCATAGGGAGACCCTGCAGGAGTGAAGACAGAGGCAAAGAAGGCATTCAGCACCTCTGCCTTCTTTATATCCTCTGTCACCAGGGCTCCCACCTCATTCCTCAATGGGCCAATATTGCCTCTATTGCTAGTTTTGCTAGCTATGTACTTGAAAAAGCCCTTTCTATTATCCTTAACCTGACTTGCAAGGTTAAGTTCCAAGGAGGCCTTAGCTTTCCTAATTGCCTCCCTACATCCTCTGACAACAGTCCTATATTCCTCCCAAGTGACCAGCCCCTCCTTCCATGATCTATAGATTTTCCTTTTCCACTTAAGTTTGCCCAGTAGTTCCTTCTTTAACCATGCAGGTCTCCTAGCACCCTTACTAGATTTCCTAACCATTGGGACACTCTGATCCTGTGCTTGCAAGAAGTGGTCCTTGAATGTTGACCAGCTATCTTGAGCTCCTTTATTTTCTAGCACCCTGTCCCATGGGATTTCCCTTAATAGATGATTGAGGAGACCAAAGTTTGCCCTGTGGAAGTCCAGGGTTCTGGTCCTGCTGGGTATTTTGTTCCTTCCACACAGGATCCTGAACTCCACCATCTCATGATCACTGCAGCCAAGGCTGCCATTGACCACCACTGCTTCAACAAGGCCCTCCTTGCTGGTTAGTACAAGATCCAGCAGCGCTCCTCTTCTAGTCGGCTTGTCCACCATTTGCATTAAGAAGTTATCATCAATGCATTGGAGGAACCTCCTAGACTGTGAAAGGCTGGCTGTGTGAGTCTTCCAGCAGATATCAGGGTAGTTGAAATCTCCCATGAGGACCAGCGACTGTAGTTGTGAGGCTGCTTTCAGTTGCTTGTAGAAAGCCTCATCAACCTCCTCACCTTGATCAGGAGGTCTGTAGTAGACCCCCACAACTGTGTCACCCGCACCTGCTTGCCCCTTAATTCTTACCCACAGAATTTCAACATGCCCCTCATCAGCCCCTGCATGAAACTCAATACATTCTAGTTGCTCTCTCACATAAAGAGCAACCCCACCACCTCGCTTCCCTGCCCTATCTTTCCTAAAAAGCACATAACCATCCATGGCCACATTCCAGTCATGTGAGCTGTCCCACCATGTCTCTGTTATTGCTACTAGATCATAACCCTT